GCAAGGCGATAGCCCTTTGTGCCGTTTGTCGAGGTAGCCGAGAGCGTGGGTGGTGGAGCCGTGGTCGAGGTAGCCGTGCGAAGAATGTCGTGGTCGATGTCGAGTCGGGGTAGCCGGTGTCGAGAAAGTCACCGTGGAGCCGCGGGCGCAAGGAGGCGCCGAGTTAGTCGTGGGCGCAGTGGTGTCGAAGTAGTGGTGCGCCAGGAAGTAGATGATGTTGACGACGCGTCGAGCCGGGGTTGCCAACCCCGGGGACACATCGTAGACGAAGGCACGCGTCGGTGTTGCCAGCACCGGGCATGCGTAGACGGACGAAGACGAAGTTGACGAAGCGTCGCACCAGGCTTGCCGGGCCCGGGGACACGTCGTGGACGAAGGTACGCGGCAGTGTTGCCAGCACCGGGCATGCGTAGACAGGGACCTGCACGAGTTGTACGCCATGTCGAAGAAGTCGAAGTGGCCAGCAGAGAAGGACTCGGCGACGGTTGCAGCGCCAATCGGCACGGGGCCAATGTCGCCCGCGGTTGTCGAAGTAGATGAAGCGGTCGGGGTAGATGACGACGATGCTGGCGACGGGCTGGTGCTGGACGAAGATGAAGGAGGTGGACGGTCGGCTGCGGCGGCTATGGGGGTAGCGGCGGCGGTTACAAAAGAAGAGCGGCGGCGGCGGCCTGACGACGGCGGCGGCGGCTAGGTTAGGAGCGCGGCAGCGGTGCTCGAAGTAGGCGAAGAACCCGACAGCGTGACGAAGACCGGCGCGGACGGTGGCGTTCCCGCGCCAAAGGAGGTGGTGCGGCGCATGCCACAGGAAGTCGACGCGCGGGGACGGCAGTGGACCGCGGGCCGCGGCGCTATGGCCCGAAGGGGTGACGCAGCGGCGGCGGGCAGGTCGGGGCGACGACGGAAGACCTCGGGACGGTCGCAAGGGCCGCGGTGCTACAGCCCGAAGGGGCGGCACAACGGCGGAGCGCGGGGTGGTGCAACCGCGTGGACGGCCTCGAGACGACGGCGTGGACCGCGTGCCACGCTCGCTACGGCCCGACGGGGCGACGCAGCGGCAGCGCGAGGGTCGGTGCAGCCACGGGGACGGCCTGGAGCGGACGGCCTCGGGGCGGCGGTAGACTGCGGGCCGCGGCACTACGACCTGAAGGGGCGACGCAGCGGTGACGCGGTTCGGTGCAGCCGGGAGATGAACCACGGGGCGGCGGCGCTGCGGCCCGACGGGGCGATGCAGCGGCAGCCCGTTGCTCGATCGGCGGAGGGGCGCGCTGAACTCGGAGACGATCTTCACGGGACCTGCGGAGGCGCGCGTAACTAACGGGCCAGGCCGGTCACGCGGCGTAGATGAGGCGGATCACGGCGGCGAGTGGATGATCAAGCCGATCGCGCGCAAGGTCGGGGACGCCGCTCGGTGGAGGCGTGGTGGCGGCGGAGTCCGAGATGAAGCCGGCGGAGGCGGGCGGCAGGGCGGCTATGATTGGCCGCCACATGGCGCGAGGCCGCCGGGACGGGGTGATGCAGGAGTCCCGGTCGGACCAGGGCGGTGACGGCCGGCGTAGATCGATGAGCGGGCCGGCGCGTGGACGACGGTCTTGAGAGCTGCCTGTAACGCGAGGCCGCTGGGTCGGTGAAGTAGCCGGCCGGTTGCGCCGATGTCGGAGTAGAGGCGCGAGGTGTCGACGGCGGCGGTGGGCGACGCAAACCGATCAAGAAAAGATCGGAAAACCAAAAAGTAGACGCCGATCAAAGCGACCGACGAAAGAGAGAAAACTTCGGATCAAAGGATCGGGAAAAAGACTCTCTAGGGCAGCCGGCCAACACGGCCGGCGGACGAACCCTAGGTACGGGCGGCGCGGCCCCCGGCGGCGGTCATGGAGGCCGACCACCCCAGGGGCGGCGCGCGGGTGCGGAAGCGGCGGCGGCTAGGGTTTAGGATCGACTTGCAATAGATACCATGTTGAAAGGAAGAGAGAGGTTTGGTGGAATAATTCGTTGTATTGCTTGAGCCTCATGGGCATATATATAGGAGTACATGATTATCTTGGAGTACAAGGCAAGGTAGAATAAAATCCTACGCTATCCTAGCTTTCCTAATAATCATGATACTCAACACATGACATTGCTCATCTCAATCACCGAGGTGTTTGCCGTCCTTTCTTCCATGAACCATTCAGTGGCACCAAAGGTGTTGCCCTCGCAATTTCTATCTGGGGTTTCATTTCCTACTTTTATGATGAGATTCGGACCAATGAGCAGCAGTCCAACATGTCGACAGATAAGGAGCACTTGGACCCGTAGATCAGTTTGTATTGTGGTATTGTTTGTACTTTGTATGGACTTTGCGCTCACCAGATCACTTTTACACTTCAGCTTTGAAAAGTCAAAACGTGTATTGTAAAGTTTCAAACTTTTTCTAAAGAATGTTCATCAAGTATTTAAAAAATTATTCATCATGTAGTCAAGGAATATTCATCATGTATTAGAATATGTTCATAGTGCATTTAAAAAATGTTCATTGTGTACTTAAAACAGTTAAGAAAAAATAGGAAAAAGTAATAGAAAATGAAAAAGTGAAGAAGAAAAACATAAGGGAATAATATAAAAATAAAACATCGTGTCGGGTGGTAGGTGCGATATATGCCAAAGAATGGTTAATCATAGTGGGAACCAGTAAGGCGTCGCCGGTGCCTGGAAACGGGATGAGGCGAACACATGCACGCCGGCGAATCTTACCCAGGTTCGGGGCTCTCCTAGGAGATAACACCCCTAATCCGGCTCTGCGGGGTCTTCACATGATCACTAAATCAACAAGTAGCTACAAGTTGCTCCTTGAGCTGTTCGGCTAGAGGAAGAAGGGCAAGGCTAGCTCTCCTCTTCTCTCTATATGGTGTGGGAAACTCTAAGAGATCAACCCTTTGCATGGGTGCCCTGGGGGCTTTATATAGGCCTACCTCCCAGGGGTATAATGGTAATCCGGCCGGGTGTGGATCCAGGCCGTTAGTGTCTATGACCGCCGACTTCTCCGCCGGCCACTGGGGCCCGCCGACTGGTGGGTCCTACCGGCTGCCAGGCTCTAGGCCGACAGACTGGGCCCACCGCCTGTGGGCCCTGTTGGCTGCTGATTACTGTTGCATTGCCCCTGATGACGATGGCTTGGTCGGGGCGGGTGTGGCTACAGTGCCGCCGCCTGGCGGGCGCTCACTGTAGCCAGACCCCGTCTTATCTGGTTAATGGTGCACAAACTTCCAGGGAGAGGGTAGGCCGGCTGTTGGGAGCCGGCCTCCCCCTGTGCCGACTGGTCTGGTTATGTCGCCTTCTAGTAGCTCACTGGCAGGTAGGGCCCGCCGCCTGCGGGTCGTACCGACAGCTAGTCGCGGAGGCATGGTCGTTCTGCCATGGATGATGTCATGGTCAACGTGGCAACAGTGCTGCGCCGGGCGGGGGATGGCCAC